TAGGGTATACCCTTTGGACAGTTGATGATGCATGGAGGGGATTGGAACCATGGCAATGAAACGATATACAGTGGAATGAATGTAAAACTAAAGTTCTCTCATGTAAACTATCATATAATTCACAATAAAACATGAGAAATAAATAAATAAATTATTTTTTAAAAAAACAAAACCTCAGTATCATAAACAAGACCAGGCTGACTGGTCAGACCGAGATAGGTAGGCCCCTCGAGACGATGGCATTGGTCACCCTTCAGGACTGGAGATGATGTCATCCCCACGTCTCAATTTTCAGGCAAACAGGACAGGTCTATAGAGAACATGACACCTGTGAGGCTTTTCACAAAAGAAGAAGAACGCTTCAGGAGAACTTTCTGAGTCTAAGTTTCAGTGTGACAGATTATCTCAGGGCAGCTGTTTCAGGGATACAAGAGTACCAGAAAGTCTAGACCCCGTGAGATTTACGGTTCTGATCTGCACTGCCCCACTGTCTGTCAGGGTCCTTCCATAGAACCTCTGATCAAACCATTCAGGAATCACAACTGAGAAAACCCAAGTTTGGGACCAGACTGTTATGTTCAAAGCTGTATTTATCTACATAAATTGCATTTGCCTATATTCTTTCTTTTGAAATCATAAAATTAATAAGAAACAAATTCCATAAACCTTTCTAATCTGGGATTATTGAAATTTGAATCTGGCTTGATAATAATTAGGTAGGATTTATGAAACTACAAACCTATCCTCGCCTGCCCACTAAATTAAAGAATACAAACTTAAGAACAAAAACTGGGTACTACTTTACTGAAGCGCAGAACTTAATTTCTCAAAATCTCATTACTCTTCAGAATACACAGGTCTCACTACAAAAACCCAACTGAAAAGTTGAACCTCGGCAATATTCACGTTATTTGCAAACACTAATCATATATGAAGGCATTAAGCAGAACGTTACTTGAAAGTTCATGCACCGATTTTTAAAAGTGCAAAAAGTATTATTAAGAATGTGTTCTTATTCAAATTTAATAACTAAACCCCTACAACACTTGACCAGAGGAACATAAAGATTTTTAACACTGTGAATAACTGTAAATTGCTTCAATTTGACAGACTGGACTTTTGTTTATAGATGCAATTGGTCAGAATTTCAACCAAAATTGAAGATTCTTCAGATCAAGGACCATGCTTTTCAATTTAGACACAGGTTATCAAAAATAGGGAGCTATAAAAGCATGAAGTGACTGGCTTAAAAGCTTTCCTAAGTGTGTTTAGTTTCAGCAAGAAGGGGATATGGTAGAATCCCCACTGACTAGTTTTCCTCTTTTTCAGATGGGCCTGGTAAAAGGGCGTGAGGAACGATGCTGCTAAAATTCTATCATTTCAATGGTGAGTAATTGTTAGTAGGATTGCAATTGTCAAACTGTAATTGTAGAAGATGTGTAACTAAAAGGGGAGAGCAGTTCATCTTTCATTTCATGAAAGAGATAATCCCAGGACCATCCAGAAGAACAGGAGTAGAGCGTGGGATCCCTGCCTGGAAAAGTGGCGACAGCAGAAACAGCAGCAGAGGTGTTGGCGTGGAGAGACAGAGCAGCTGCAGAGGGACTCCAGGCCCACGGACTAAGTCAGGCTGTGTGCCTATGGGTAGGAGGTTGGCTTGCAGAATGTGCCCTTTGTATATTCAAATGATTATTTTTTGTTGTTGTGTTTTGTATGTGAGCATCAAATGATTTTCCTTTGTGAGTTTACATGCTTTATTTGTGACACATGAGATGTAAGCAAAACCATTTGATGCACATACACAAAATCAAATCAAGTATATATATTGTTGTGAAGTGCTGTCAAGTTG